TGCACTGAGATCACCAACTGGCTGACCTACAGCGGGCTGCAGCACGTGGGGTCCCTCTACCCCATCCGCCAGGTGAGGGTCACCTCGGGGAGGGGACAGGGCCGTGGCACCCGTCAGGGTGAACCCAAAACCCCGGGGCACGAGGCTCACATGGAGACAGAGCTGCCAGCCCCGGGCTGGGGGAGCTGGGGAGCAGCAGCCCGACAGCTCTGACACGGGAAAGGTGGCACCAGCTCGGCACTGCCACCCCAGATTCCTGTCCCCCACCCTGGGAGTGGCTGCCTTTGTGGTGAAACACTCCCCGTGGGCAACAGCCTCGTAAAACCCACGGCATCCCAGCGCGGTGAGCCGTGCCCGTGCCAGCTGTGAGGGACAGGTCACGGCCACAGCCACCGCCCTGGGGACACCTGGGGGCACCCGGGGGCAGCACGACAGGGAGAACCCCCCCAGGGGCACAGGGTCCTCCCCTGCAGAGCCCCAGCCAGGCGAGGAGCTGCAGGCCAGCGGGGTGTGGGTGCAAACCAGGCTCCTCTCTTGCAGAGACGGGTCTATTTCCACATCAGGAGCAGGGAGCTGGAGCTCTTCCTCTCGGTGCCCGACGATGTGGAGGAGATGAAGGCAGGGCGGGTGGTGGTCTCCAGCCTGAGCGAGCAGAGCAGCTCCGTCTGGTACTACGAGGACGGGCTGATCAAAAACCAGGTCAGGGCTCAGCTGGGACAGCCAGCGCCACCGAGGGAACCAGGGCAGCCCCTGGCAGGACTCCTGCTGGGCACTCCCCACCCCACAGCCATCCTCAGGGTTTATAAGAGCTTCTCTCAGCCTCTGATCCCAGCCTTGTCCCCAGAGATCCAGTGATTCTCCTCCCCAAGTCTCCCCTGGAGATGTGAAGCCATCTCTGCCTTCCCTGAGGAGTTTTGTCACCCTCATCATCCTCACCTCTCACTGAGGGGTTCCTCCTGCTCACCCCCATTCCACCGCAGAGCCAGCTGCACTAGAGGGCAATCCCTGCTCCGTGTCCCTCGCAGGTGGCCCCCACCATGAGCCTGCAGGTCATCGGGCCGGCGGGGAAGGGCGCCAAGGCCGTGCTGTGGGCCGAGACGCGGCTGCCACGCCAGACCTGGAGCGTCGACTCCCAGGGACGCATCCACAGCCAGATGTTCGAGGACATGATCCTCGACGTGAAGGGTGAGCCCCCAGCCCCGCACAGAGGCTGCCTTGCCAGGGATGCCCCACATGGGGCGTTGGCATCAGGAGTGGGGTTTGCCCTCCCCAAAGCTCCCCTCGCTCTGCAGGCGGCCGAGGCTACGACCGGGACCACGCCATCGTTTGGGACACGGCTGACGAACGACCCACGCAGATCTGGGACCTCCAGGTGCTGTGAGGGACAGAGGTGCCATGGGGCAGGACGGGGACACCCTGGCAGCGTGCCCACACTGGGGCAGGAGGCCGCAGACCCCAGCACATCTCAGTCCCAGCTGCTGGTGGGGAGGGTGACCACCAACCTCTGCACCACGGGGGGACCATCCCACCTCCCTCCCGAGGAGGCCTGAACATGTCCATGAAGGACCCCATGGACACAGCCAGCGCGGGACCCTCCGGAGGGCAGCAGGGCCCCTCCCCTCAATTTCTTCTTCCCCCTGAACTGTATTTATGTACGTGTGTAAGATACAGCCCTGCTTGTCCGGGCCAGCCCTGCCTGGGTGGTCGGTGTCCTTGTCCTTGTCGTGCCCACAGCCTGGCAGCACCCCTGGAACTGGTGCCAGGATGGGATCCCAGTGCCCTCTAGTGCCCACGGGCACAGGCAGCTCCGTGGCACGGACCTCGAGCAGGGAGGCACCGGCCAAGCCGTGCCCTGCGAGCACCGGGGGCTGCGGGACCCCTCCAGCTCCAGCTCCAGCCCAGGGGGACCCCAGCCTGTGGCCTTGGGGGTCCCTGTGGTGGCACCCCGGCTGAGCTCAGAGCCAGCAGTGCCCCCTGTCCCTGGTGGCTCAGCTCACCCATCTTCCAAGGGCCCGGGACAGAGGTTTGGCCCAGCTGGGTGGAGAGCAGGAGCTCCCCGGGGATGTGACTTGGAGCCGGGGGAGCACGGGGTGGGAAATGGAGAAAATTGCTCTGCTGGGGAGAGGACACGGCTGCCAGCAAGAGCCTGCTCTGGTCACTGCGTGGGGGTAGCGACCTCCCGTCGCCCTGGCAGGGAGCGGCGGTGACAGCGCGGGGGCGCCGGGGGACATCGGGCGGCTGGGCCTGCCGGGCCTGCAGCAACAGCAACAAACGCCCGTCTTTTGCGTGTCTCCATTGCCCCAGTACCCGTCTGGGCAGGGGACAGGCAGCCACACGAGGGATTTAAATGGTAAGATCAGCCGGGCAGCAAGGGACGCTGAAGAACGTGAAGGCTCCTCAATATCGCAGAGCCCTCACACCCAGCTACGCTCGCGGCCGCGGCCGCGCCTCACAGGAAGACGCTGGAACTCCCCTCACGGCTTATATTAACCCTGCCGGGCTGTGATTGGCTGAGGGCGGGAGCTGGCGGCGCCGGATTGGCGGGGAGCTGCAGCCCCTGCCGCGGGATTGGCCGGGGTTGCGCGCGGGCCGCCTGAGGGGGCGCGCGGGGGTCCCGCCCGAACCCGCGGAGCCCCCGGGGCACGTTCGGGGTCCGTTCGGGGGGACAGGACGGGACCGTTCGGGGCCCGTTCGTTCAGGGGTGCTCGCCCCGGGGCACGTTCGGGGTCCGTTCGGGGGGACAGGACGGGACCGTTCGGGGCCCGTTCGGGGCCCGTTCGGGGCGACAGGACGGGACCGTTCGGGGCGCGTTCGGGCGCGTTCCGGGGGACAGGACGGGACCGTTCGGGGACCGTTCGTTCAGGGGTGCTCCCTCGGTGGTCCCGGCCCTGCTCCCCCCGGCTCGGGCCTGGCCCCCTCCCGGCCCCTCCATCCCCGGGACGGGCCCGGTGTTGCGCCCCACCCCACAAGCCCCGGTACCGAGCCGGGAGACGGCGGAGACGAGCCCTGCGTGCCGGCACCGGCGCGTTTATTGCTCCGCTCCGCGGGAGCCGGGGGGACGCGGGGAGCGGCAGGAACGGGAGCGGTGCCGTCCTGGGCGGGGGCCGCGGGGCTCGGGGGCCGCGGGGCTCGGGGGGCTGCAGGGACCCCCGGGGGCTGCAGGGATCTCAGCGCAGCTGCAGCAGCAGCGCTGCCAGCAGCCCCAGCGCCGCGGACAGCAGCGGGGCGCTGGCGCCGGGCGGGCTCACGCTGCTGCCGCTGGCGGTGGCGTTGCTCGGGGCAGCATCTTTCGGGGGGGACGGCGCCTCCTCCTTCGTGGCCTCCTCCTTCGCCAGGCTGAGGGTCTGCGGAAGAAAAGGGCTTCAGATATCCCCGCCGACCGCAGCACGGCGGTGAAAGCGCCGAGGATGGTCCTGGGGGCAAAAGGAGTGCCCCAGCCCAGGCAGGACACACAGCCGTGCTGTCTGTCCCCTGGCAGGTTCCCCTTCACGCTCCAGCTCTGGGCTTGTCCCACGGCAGGGAGGGAAGTGAGCTGCCCCTGGAATCGCTGCCCTGCTGCTAACCAGGGCCTTTCAGAGCTCGGGGGGGAAGTGGAAGGCAGGGAGTGGTCTCTGCGCTGCGAGGAAGTGGTGAGAAGGTGTCGGGCCACGGCCCTGCAGAAGAAGAAGAGGTGGGGAGTGGGGAACGCCCGTGCTGGAAGCGAGGGGCCGGGGAGGAGGGAGCCCCGGGCTGTGCACACACGGGGTGTGTGAATGCAGCACGGCGGGCTGGCCAGCTCAGGGCAGTCTCTTTCCCTCTCTAACACTCCTGCAAAGCCATGCTGTGAAGCACGCTGCCCTGCACCCCTCCTCAGGGTCCCTCCGGAGGTGGGGAAGGACAGGAACAGAGCCCAAAACTCTTGCTCTCTTTGCCACGCTCTTGTTCTCTTTGCCTGCTTTACAGAGGGGAATCCCAAAATGTAAATGCAGCCTGTGGAGCCAGCAGCAGGTCCCAGCTGTGGGCAGCTTCATGAGTGAAATAACCACAGATAGATCCGGCCCTCTTTCCAACATGTTGTAGGGGAAAAAAAAATCACCCCAAAAGCTGCCCCAAAGTGCGTGGCGCTCCCCAAAAGTGCTGGTGGGCTCATCCCTCACACCCAGGAGAGCCCCAACGTCCCTCAGCACGGCTCTGGGGCCATGGAGCCCGCAGCAGGAAGGGAAATAACAGCCAGAGGTGAGAGTGAGAGGAAACTACAGCCTGTGTCCCCTCCAGCTCAGCATCCCCACTGCAGGAGAGGCTGGAAGATGGGCTGGAGAGCCCTGGTAGGGTTATAGAGGCTGGAAGATGGGCTGGAGAACTCTCCTGGGGTTATAGAGGCTGGAAGATGGGCTGGAGAGCCCTGGTAGGGTTATAGAGGGTGGAAGATGGGCTGGAGAGCTCTGCTGAGGTTATAGAGGGTGGAAGATGGGCTGGAGAGCTTTGCCAGGGTTATAGGGGCTGGAAGATGGGCTGGAGAGCCCTGGCAGGGTTATAGAGGCTGGAGAGCCCTGCCAGGGTCACAGAGGCTGGAGAGCTCTACCAGGGTCACAGAGGCTGGAGAGCCCTGCCAGGGTCACAGAGGCTGGAAGATGGGCTGGAGAGCCCTGGTAGGGTTATAGAGGGTGGGAAATGGGCTGGAGAGCTTTGCCAGGGTTATAGAGGCTGGAAGATGGGCTGGAGAGCCCTCCCAGGGTCACAGAGGCTGGAGAGCCCTGCCCCAGGGTCACAGAGGTGAGTGCTGCCCTCAAGGTAAAGCAAAGCATTAAAAAGCCCCCCATGGAAGAGCCTGCACCCCCCAAAGCACGGCACAAACCCCTCGGTGAGACCGCAGCGCTTAAAGCCCAAGAAGAAACCCAAAAGGGGAGGTTTTGAGCCGCAAGCAGAGGCGGCCGGGCCGGGCAGGGCCGGGCTCGCTCCTTACCAGGCACAGGGCGAGCAGGGCGAGCAGGGCGAGCAGGCGGGCGCGCTGCAGGGGCGGCATGGCCGGGCTCTGCCGCTTCCCCTCCGCCCCCGGCTTTAAGGGCGGCCGTGGCACCGCGCACCAATCGCGCCTCCTTCCCCAAAAGCCGCAGCCCGGGGAGGGCACAGCCGCTGCCTGCGCCGGGGGGAAAAGGGGGCCCGGCGTGGCCTGGGGTCTGCGGGCTCGGGAGATGCTCCTCTGCACCCCCCGGCAGGGACCGGGGACGGAATAGCGACATTTTCAGTTCGATATTAGATATACATATATAGATATACATCCAATATACCCACGTATATATAGATATATGTGGGTATATTAGATAGATGTTGATGTATATTAGATATAGGTAGATATATGTTAGATAGAGGTTGATATATTTTAGATATTGATGTATTTTAGATAGTTGATAGATATAGGTTGATATATTAGATAGATGTTGATGTATATTAGATATAGGTAGATATATGTTAGATAGAGGTTGATATATTTTAGATATTGATATATTTTAGATAGTTGTTGATAGATATAGGTTGATATATTAGATAGATGTTGATATATTTTAGATAGATGTTGATATATATTAGGTATAGGTAGATATATATTAGATATAGGTTGATAGATAGATGTTGCTATGTATTAGATATAGGTAGATATATATTAGATAGAGGTTGATATATTTTAGATAGATATTGATATATATTAGATATAGGTTGATATATATTAGATATATGTTGATATATATTAGATAGAGGTAGATATATTTTAGATATTGAAATATTTTAGATATATGTTCATATATATTAGATATAGGTTGATATATTAGATATATGTTGATATATACAAGATATAGGTAGATATATATTAGAGGTTGATATATTTTAGATAGATGTTGATATATATTAGATAGATGATATATATTAGATAGATGTTGATATAGATTAGATATATATAGATATATAGATAGATAGATAGATATAGATATATAGATATTTCCAGTTCTCCTGGAGTCACTGAATAGAGCTTAAAGACTAAGTGGAAAATGAGATGAAAGGATGTAAAGGGATGAGCACAGGACACAAACAAGGCTGGGAGCAGTGGAGAAGCAGGTAAAAAGGACTGCAGTGGGGGTTTTGGAAGTAGGTAAAAGAACAGCACATCCCCAAAGGAAAAGTTCAAGGAAAGGCTGAGACTCCTCAGGCTCTGCTTCTCCCTGGGGCCTCTCTGTGCTCACCAAGGACTAGGAGGGACTGAGACCCTGCCTGGACCACGGGAGGGTTGGCAAACTGCAGCCCAGGCTGGCAGGAGCAAACCTTCCCTCCAGGTGGAGCTGGAGCCAAGGCATCCCTTGGGATTTCAGCCACAGATCCTGAATAAAGGGGGATAAATGGGGATAAAGGGGGAAATGCTTCCTTTGGCCCCCCAGCTCCATCCGCTCTGCAGATCTCTGAGCTCCCTCACCCTGCAGCACAGGAAACAAAAGCCATCTGGTTATTTGAATATAAAAAAAAAATATAAAATGTTTTATTTGAATAGGGTTTGAAGTGAACAAAGGGACTGGAACGAGCTGAGAGCGCACACCTGCAGTCTGGTGCTGCTCCCCGCCAGCTTCCGCCCGGAAAATAAAAACATTCTGCAGAAAAACTCACCCGATTTAGCTCGGGTTTGCTCTTGGGGCAAGCAGAAATTAAAAGGCTCTTGAGCAAAACCAACATCCCTGGCAGGGCCCAAGGCCGGGCTGGACAGGGCTGGGGTAGCGGGAGGTGACCGTGCCATGACAGGGCTGCGATGGGACCAGCGCTGGGGTCCCTGGAGCCCAAACCCCTCCGTGACCCCCATCAAAGGGGGTAAAACTGGGGGATAACCGGCTTGTCCCGCTCACCGACACCGGGAGAGCAGCACCGGGACAGCCGGGACAGGGCATGGCGGCAGCACAGGGCACCGGGGGGGAAACAGAGCGCGGGAAGCAGGTGGGGGGACCGGGAGGAGGCTCAGGGCAGGCCGCGGGGTGCGCGGAGCGGGGCTGAGAGAAAAACGGGACCGGCCCCGGTGTCCCGGGACAGCGCGCGCGGGGCAGGCTGGGAATTGTAGTTCTCGACCCCACCTCGCCCGCCACGTGACCAGCGCCGGGCCAATCGCAGCGGGCCCCGCGTCGCCGTGGCAACCGGCCGTAAACAAGATGGCGGCGGGGGGTGAGTTTGCGGGCGAGGCCTGGCCGTGCCCCGGGAGCCTCTGCAGGGCATCCCCGGCTCTGCTCCGGGCACAGCACTGCGAAGGAGCGCGGAGGGGAAAGCCCTGAGGGCTCCGGGCGTTCGGGGCCCGCGGCTGTCGGTGGCACCCCCGGGCAGAGCCGCTCCCGGGGCTCCCCCCTGGCACACACAGCCCGGAGCCAAGCGGTTTCCACGCCGAAAGTCCTCCCTGCTGTGGCAGAGCAGCAACGCTGCTCACAGGTGTTTGTGCTTTCAGGTGCAGCTCACGCTGACGTGGAGCTCGTGTCCTCCCTGGCAGAAAAAATCTCTCTGTTGGAGCAAAAAGTAGAGGAGCAAGCACGAGAAATCCAGCTGAAGGTAAAAGTCAGCCTCTTGCTGAGCCTGCTGTGTCCCCTGCCACAGGAGTTCCACCTCCCAGACCTTGTGTGGGCTCAGTTCATCTGTGGCCTGCTGTTAATTACCCAAATGAGCCCTTTACAAAGCAAGAGAGCACTGGGATCAGGCCTTGGGGTGGCAGAGGGGACAGTCCCTGCTGGAATTCCTCACAGCACTGACTCTCAGCACCCTAGCACTAAGATCAGCAGCTCTTCTGCTTCAGAATTTATTTTTTCCCTCCTGTGGTGGCTGTTTTCTGAAACAGCAGCTGCTCACACAGCAGAGTCCTCCTGGATCAGCCCTTTGCATCACTGACTAGAACAAATACCCTCTAAAGTCTTAGAACAAATGCCCTTTAAAATCTTACCATAAATACCCTTTAAAATCTTAGAATAAACACTTTTTTTTGTTTGGTTTGGTTTTTTTTAAGAAGTGGCTGCAGAGATGCTGGTTTAGCTTCTAGATCAGACCCAGAGGTCTGAGCAGGAGCACCCGGGGCAGAGGGAGCACTGGGAGCTTCTCCTGGAGCTCTGTGTTTATCCCAGCCCTCCCTGAGTGCCACGAAGGTGTTTGTGAGGTGGTGCAGCCCTGGCTGGTGTGCCAGCTGTGCCAGGAGCTGACCCGGGCCATTGCTCTGCCCCTGAAGGACAGCAGGATTGCTGAGCTGGAGGAGAAGATAAGCACTCTTCAGGAAGGAGAAGGTAAAACTTGTTCTACCTTTGGCACCTGTGGGAGAGCTGCAGAGCAGGGGCAGGGCAGCAGAGAGGCCTGGGACAGCTGGATCCTGGAATCCTGGAATCCTGGAAGTCTGGAATCCTGGAAGCCTGGAATCCTGGAAGCTCCAGAATCCAGGAGCCTCCTTGGTGAGGGGTGGCAGCCACACAGAGGGGCCTTTCCCCAGGGCAGAGCTGCACTTTGTGGCTGCTCCTCTGCTGCAAAACATCATTTCCTGACCTGTTCCTGTGGGTTTCTGAGTTTCCATGGGTGTGAGGCCGAGCACAGGCAGCTGAGGGTGGCCAGAAGAGCAGCAAGCACTGCAGAGCCCAAAGAGCAGGAAAGCAGCTCCTCAGGGCTGGGAGAAACCCCAAACCCACTTGGAGCCTCCAGAGGACTCCAGCCTGACCCTGAGTGGGTCACTGGAGGGGCTTTGCCCTGCTCAGCTCCCTGGATCCAGCAGGGCTGAGCTGAGTTCTCCATTTCCCAGCTCTGAGCACAAAGGTGGCTGTGAACCCTCAGCTCCTGCTGCCATCCAGCCAGGATCCCAGCTGCAGGGGACACTGCTCCTCCTGCCTCCTCAGGGCCATTCGTTTCCACTCTGGGGTTGCCAGCAGCACCCCTCACATCAGCTCCCAGGGCACAGAACTCCCCGGGGTTGTTCACAGCTGCCTTTTATCCTGTCAGCACCATTGTCAAACAGTGCAGGGGGAGCTGGCACGTCCAGCCCCGTGTCCCACGGGGCTCCTGTGGCACAGGACATGCACGGCTCTTCCCTGGGGACAGGAACAGCAGCTTTTCTCTTACAGATGCTTCTGAGCCACGTGCCTCAGCAGAGCTGGAAGCGAGGTGCCTTCAGCTGCAGAGGCAGGTCTGGGAGATGGAGGTGAGGCTGCCCTGCTTGCCCTGAGCCTCCCTTTGCTCTGGGGTCACTGCAGCCCCACTCTGGCCCTTCCCAAGCTGCCCTTTGCTCCTCACAGCCCTTCAGCTCTGAGAAGAAGGAGCAGGAGAAGGTTTTAAACACACAAACACCTCCTGCCAGCTTCATCCTGATTTCCAGGGCTGCAGCTCCTGCGGCCTCGGGAGGTTCCTCTGGCTCCACAAATCTTTCCTGCTCCCTTTCCCTGCTGTCACTGCCCTGCCCAAGCAGCCCCAAAAAATCCTGCTCCACCTCCCTCCCTGCCTCTCTGACCCCCCTCGGGCTCCCTTTCCCTCTGTGAGGCTCTGGCTCTGCTCCTGCAGCGGTTCCTGGGTGATTACGGTCTGGTTTGGGTTGGAGAGGCACGGGAGGACATGGAATCTGTCCGGGATGAAGAGGAGCTGCCAGCAGGGAGCCTCTGCAGGCCGGGTAAAGCACAGCACGGCTGGAGCTGCCAGCCCAGGCCAGGGAGAGCAGATCAGCACCAAAACACCAGGGTTTGGGTCTTGAGAATTGGGGTCCTGGGCCGAGATCTTCACAGCAATCCCTCCCAGGGACACAGACACAACCGAACAGGAGCTCAGCAGGTTTAATTTTATATTCTTTAATTTTATATTCTTTAATTTTATATTCTTTAATTTTATATTTCTGTGGTTTGTGCACCCTTCTGGGGAAGGGGAGAGAACCTGATGGCTCAGCCCCTCAGGAGGAGAGCTCAGAGCAGCTGTTTCCTGCAGAATTCACAAACCCTGCACGTTTGAGGCTTGACTGCTCTAATGGCATTGACACAGGGTGGGTGGAAAACGGTATCAGGTGCTTTGTGTACACAGGAGCTGTAGTAAGTTACACACAGAGCCTGGCTCCAGCAGGGAGTATTGTTTGCCTTTCCTCCCAGCCACCAGGTGAGGGTTTAATTGGGACCTGCCTCTGCTGCCTGGGGCCCCAGCAGCTTTGGCAGTGCCTCCTTAGGGAGGGTAACAGAGGGAAAAAAAGAAAATTATTGGGACTGCAGAGCCAATGCTGCTTCCTAACCACCTTGGAAATATTATAGAGCTTCCCTTAGATGCAGGAGGGGAGAGACAGAGGGAGATCAGCAGAAACACTTTTGGTTTCAGCTCACTGACCCTTTTTTTCACATCATCCTTTAGCAACTCATAAAAAAAGCAGAACAACCAAGGACTTCAACTCAACTAAGACCTTTCCTCTCATTTCCTCTTCTGACTTCTTTCCTCTGCCTCATCACAGCCCTTGCGCTGCTTCACCCCCACAGCCCCAGACAAACATCCTGGCAGAGCCCTGCCCTGCTGCAGGCACCTCCTCAGGGGTGATCCACTGCCCCAGTCTGATCCAGCTGCTCCTGCACAGGGACAGCACAGCCCTCCTGAGAGGATCAGCGAGCCTGGGAGCCCAGCGTGGGCTGCAGGAGCTGCTCTGAGCTGCAGCCCCAGCGCTGCATCCCTGCCCTGCCCTTGTGGTTCAGCACACACCCCGGGCACCTGGCAGGGCTGTGCCACAGCAAAAGGCTGCAGCACCTTCTGCAAACGCGTGAAAGGCAAGGCACAGGCAGCCCAGCAGCGTCAGGGCTCAAGCACACCTCAAACTCAAACAGATAAATGTCCTGCCACCGCCCCTGCCCCTAACCCTGCTCCCTCTGCCGCAGGTGAGGCCGTGGTTTGCAAACAGCAGATTGATTTTGATTTAATCCTGGAGAACATCAAGGATTTGAACTCGCTGGTGGGAGAGGGCGTTTCTCAGATCGAGCACACGGCCCGGGGGGCTCGTTTGAGGAGAGCAGAGCCCCTCCCTGTGACCCTGTACCAGAATGGGATCACCGTGGGACACGGAGCCTTCCGGCCCTACCAGCACCCAGCCACGCAGGTATGGAGGGGGCTGAGAGGAGCCAGAGCCCTCCTGGAGCCCTCACTGAGCCCCAGCAGAGGGGATGGGGCTTCTGAGCTCATCTCAGTCCAGCTGCACCCCCACAGTGCCTTTAGAGCCCTGCACGTCCTGTGCAGTGATCTCCAGAGATGGAGATCCTGTGTCTTTGCTGCAGACCTTTCTGCACGGCCACAGCACCACAAACAGGAGCTGCCCAGCAGAAAGGTCAGCCCAGAGCTCAGCAGCAAGCGACCAGGAGCTCTGCTGTTGTTTCAGCAATGCCTGCAGGACATCATGGATGGTTATTTCCCCTCGGAGCTGCAGCCTCGCTACCCCGACGGCGTCCCCTTGCAGGCAGGTGCCACACACAGCTCCTGGGCACCGTGCATTCTGCTGGGTGGGGCCCAGGGAAGGGCAGGCTGAGGTTTGTGGTGCTGTGCAGGTGTGGCTGGGCCCAGGGGAGGCACGCAGGGCACCTGCAGCAGCCGTTACAGGAAACGTCTCAGCACCAAGGTTCACTGTGCCTCAGTGAAGCTGCCCTGGAGCAAGGCTTCTGAGAGCACAGCAGGCTCTGTAGGAGAAGCAGCACACGCAGGAAATGAAGAGCTGTGTCACAAAAAGGAGGGGGAAAAAAGTTCTCAAGTAGTTCCCCTGGAAACTTGTAACGTGAGAGTGAGCAAGTACCTTTAGAGAGGATGTCGTGAGTTTATTTTGCCACAGTTTAAATGGATTTGGCCACCTGAGGTTCTCTTGGGCCCCAGTTTTTGATTTCTCAGAAATGGCAAAGAGCCAAAGCCACATTTGCAGGCAGAGAGCCTCAGAGGACTCAAATCTAGGTCTTGGAGTGCACCTGCAATGTCAGCAGGCACAAGCAGAGGCTGGACTTTCCCTGTGCCACGGAGAAACCAGGGCACAACTGCCTGAGCAGGACAAGGTCAGGCCAGCTGGAGCAAACTGGGAGCTGTGGGGGTTAGGAAGTCACATGGAAGGGGGATTGTGCAAAACTCTGGGGGCTGAGGTTCCTCAGAACCTGTGCATCCTTGCTTTCGTTTGGGGTTTCCAACTGCTGTGGTTTGCTGGGCTCGGCTGCAGCAAGAGGAGCTTGAGCAACAGTCAGATTTGCTTACAGGTCACTGACAGGAGGGACGTGGTGTTTCAGAAGCCAGACCTTCCCGGGAGCTTTCCTGGCCCTGGCCAGGTGGTGGGCACTTCAGAATCCAGCAGAGTGCAGGAGACCTCCGAGATCCCAGGTAAAATCTTAAACCTGCCTCGAAAATGCTGCTCCTTCTTGAGGAGGAGGATTCTTAAACCTTACCAGGGCAGTGCAGGTGGTAGAGGGGGAATGTGAGGGTCTCAATGTGAGGCTGGGGGCCAGCAGCACACACAGCATCCTCTCAGCATTAATCCTGCTGAAGAATGAGATGTGCCAAGTAATAAAATAATAGAAATTCAGCAGGTTTCCAAACACATATCTGCCCTGTGCCTTTCTGAAAGGCCAAGCTTGCTTCCAGCTCCACCACATCAAAGGATGCTGAGGTAACCCTGCAGGCCTGGGTTGCAAACCCTGCTCCTTTCAACCAGCTCATTCCAAAAATGTAGATACCGGCAAGGCAAATTTACCGTAACTGCACCCAATATGGGACAGTTTCTCTTCAGACTTTCACAACAGAACAGGGGACATCAAAGGCCACAGATTCCTCATTTTGCTTCGAGACACTCGCAGTCTGTGTAAGCAATATCTGACAGGGCTGGGAAGTCAAACAGAGACAGAAATCAGTGGGTCTGTGGCTGCATCACTAAATAACCCACCACACTTATCCCTCGTGAGAAGCAGCTGCCTGCTTCCGTTCCACTGTGCTCAGTCACCTCAGGGCTAAAGCTAAATATCCCCTTTATCCGAGCAGCAAAACAAAGAATTGTCCAAGCAGAAAGGAATGGACTCCTACAAATCCAGCCTCACAAGGTGAAAAATGTCCCAGTCTGTAAAAATGGTGATGTTGCCAGTTCTTCACAGCAGAGCTGCCCGCTGTGCAACCCAGCTGTGCACTGCACAGCTCTCACTGCTGATGCTGACAATCAAACATTTCCTGGGGCACAAAGTGGGACAACTTCAAGGCAGGAACCCGAGAGCTGCTCAGGGCCTCGCTGGGCTGCGAGAGCTCTCCCTGCTGGTGCTGCTCTCTGTTTTCACCAAATCTGCCTTTTCTGCGGGCAGAACGCTTGTCACAAAGCTGACACACGGACACGTCTCCCCTCTGCCCTGCCAGGTGCCAAAGCCCCCTGGGAGCAGGCTGCCAAGGAGCTTTCCCAGCCCCTGAAGCGCAGAGGGAGCGCGGGCAGTGCCCGAGGCACACAGGTATGAGAGGGCTCCCCTGGCACCCCAGGAGGAGAGCAAGGGTGGTGCTGTGCACTCAGCTCCCTGCACAGCACCCCCAGCCCCTCCCTGGGCCTCTCTCAGCTCCATGGCACCTCCCAGAGAGGCTGCACCAGAGCACACCTGGCCCTTGCCTCGTGGCTGTGCCAGCTCTGGCTGCTCTCCACTCACCTGACCCACCTGCTTTGCTGGCAGGGCTCTGATGGGCAGCAGGGCAGCAAGGAAATCCTGCTGGAAGCACCTGGGCTGGCTGCCCTGGAGAGGTACAGGCACAGCCCCCCACCCCCTGCCCTGTCAGGATCTCCTCTTCCTCCTGTTTCATCACTGCAGGTTTAGTTCAGTTGAGGAATGGACTTTCCCCTTTTAGACCTTAGAAACAGACAAAAGGCCAAGTTTGGTCCTTTGGGAAAACCACTGAATTTTTCATGGCAAACATGTCATATTTTACATCTCTAACAAAAAGCTTCTGTTGTTGAAAATGTCACTTGTTAATGTGAAATTTTTCCCGACAGCAAGCCAAGGCCTAAGAGTTTGTCACCATTGAAGGAGCTTTTTGCAGTCATGTTAAATGGAGAACCCCTCCAGGAAACTGGTGGTGGGAGGCCTCACTAGCAGCACTTTTCCACTCAGTCTTCTGGCAAACCAAGCACCAAATAGCTAATGAAAAAAAAAAACCCAAAAAAAAAAAAAAAAAACCAACCAAGCAGATTATTTTTAATCAAAGTAGGGCGAAGCACTTACCAGACAGCCCTGGTTTAAAATGAAAAAGCTAAAAAAGGCCCATAACCCTCTTGAAGGCACCTTCAGGCTGGGAGAGCACAGCAGCAGTTTGGGCAGTGGGCAGCTCTGGGTGCCCGTGCTCAGACACGGCCTCGTTCACATTCCCAAACACAAACCTCCTCTGCCCTGCTCCGGTCCCGGGGGCTCTGCCTGCTGAGTGGAGCTCATCCTGGGCTGACAGGGTTCTCTGGGCCAGGGTGAAGCCAGCTGAGGAGGCTGCAGCCCCCGGGTTCTGCACGCTGCGCGTCAGGTCCGAGAGCGGCGAGCAGACGTACGAGCTGAGGATGCTGCTCACGGCCACCATCGGGGACCTGCGCCAGCACCTGGCCCACATCAGGTACCCAGCCCGCCCTGCCCTCCCTGCCTGCCTCTGCAGGGCCCCAGAAAAGGCTTCCTGAGCTCCTGGAGCTTCAGACATCAGCCTGAGCTGGGCACAGCCCTGTGATCTCTCCAAGCAGCAGATCCTGAGAAGCTCAGAGCATTTCATACCCACTTTGCCACACAGCACAGAGATAAACTTCTGTCCTCCCCAAATTGCCCTCAGAGCCAGGCCCATCGCTGCCTTTGCCTCCTTGCAGCACTCACCCAGCTGGTGCCAGCCTTCCCAAGGTTGCAGCCTTGGCTTGGCTCAGCCAGCTGTGTCCCAAAGCACCCAACGCTGCACAAGGGCTCCCTCAGCCTCTTGGGGACAGCTCCAGATGGCTCAGGGCCCTCTTTGCTGTCCCCTCTTGCCACTCCTGCTGCAGGCCTGGCCTAGTTGAGCCCGGGATGAGCTCAGTGCTGGTGGGATGCATGAGCCTCCTCTCCTTCCTCCCCTGTGCAGCTGTGCCTGCCTGGCTGCACTTTGGGCTGGAAGCTCTTTTTTCTGCTCTTGCATAACCACAGCTGGATCAGTCAAAACCTCGGGGAATCCCACGAGTAGGAGATTGTGCTGTTCTTTCCTAGGGGTGGAAACTCGGACTATGAGATCATCAGCACCTTTCCCCAGCGGGTGTACACAGACAGCTCCAGGAGCCTGCAGGAGTGCGGGCTGGTCCCCAGGGCCTCCCTGCTGCTGCGCAGGAGAGACCCCTCCCAGCAGCAGGGCAGGGGGCTGCAGCCAGCCTAGGAGCTGCTCACCCCAGCTCTGCACGGGGAGGGAGCTGCCTCTCACCTTACCCGTGGGGAAAAGGGAGAGGTTTTCTTTCCAGATTCGGTTTCAGTGTGGCTGGATGGAGAAGAGCTGCGAGCAGCCCCTCCCTTTGGCAGAGGAGCCAGCCCAGTCCTGCTGCCTCGCACTGGCTGCTGCTCCCCAGCACAGGGGCTCTTCCACCAGCCCACCCGGGCTCCAGGCCTGGCTCCCCATCTCTGTGCAGGTGCCACAGGCTGCCCGTGCCCAGGGGAGCCTGCCAGCCTCACCCCAGCACTGGGCAGTTGTTAGCTGTGCTCAGGGCTGGAGCAGCAGGATGGACACACAGCCAGGGGCACTTTGCTCCCTACAGACCTCACCTGCACTGGCAGCAGGGCACACACAGGCTCAGGTCTGTGCTGGAGCTAACCCTGAAGGCCCTGAGCCATCGCAGCGCTGGGGCTGAGCCAGGCTCGGCTCGGCTCGGCCGGGAGATCCTGCTGCTGCCTTTCCTGTACGTGCACAGCTCCTTCCCTTGGACAGCCCCCAGCTGCAGCGGGGCCCCGGCTCCAGCCTGCCTGGAGGTACCCGCCCTCCTCCTCCTCCTCCTGCTGCTGGATGCTGCAACAGGACACCGTGTCACTGGAGAGCAGCAGAACCCCTCTCTGCCCAGCCCTGAACAAAGCATCTTCCTGCCTGGCCCGTGGGCTGGGGCTGCACTTTTCCCTTTCCCTTTCCCCAGCACATTCTTCCCATTCCAGCTGTGACAAGCTCTCACTTGACTCCCAGCTGACAACACTCCCACTCAGGCAGGGCCTTCTGGCAGGTTCCCTCTTCACAGAGCCAGCCCTCATTAAAGGCTCCCAATAAAACCCTTCATTCCAGCTGCACTTTCCACTTCCTTCAGCTTCCAAAGGCTGTGGAAGCCCAGAGCTCTTCCCAGAGCCCTCTGCCCAGAGCTGCACGACTCAAACTCTGTGAGCAGCGACTCAACCCACCCAGCTCTCCCTCAGCTTCCTCCTTTTTCCACCTGTAGCAGATTCAGGAGCAGCAGTTTCCCCTGCCCCTCTGCATCCTGGTCCAGGCAATCCTTGTGCCAAAGGTTTGTTTTCCACTGCCACGTCTGGCTGAGGCTGTCCCTGCCCCGGGCTGCCTCTGTGACCACGCAGAGGAGAGGAATGCTCTGGTGCCTGTCCCTGCTGTGCCCTAGGACATTCAGACACGTCCTGGGAGCCTTTGATTAGCAGCAGCAATCTAAGGTGTTAAGATCTTTGTGTCAGCCTGCAGCAGCAGGTACAACCCACTCAGCTGGAAATGACTCACAATCCTTAGGTAGGGTGATGTTTAACCTGTAGCCAAAATAAAACTGAATTTAAAAGAAATGCAAGAGTAGCGCTGTGAAAGGTACAGTAACATTTAATAGCATCTCAGAAGACAACACTGGTTATAAACTTGCTTTTTGGCAGGAAAAACAAAATGCACTTGGTCCAGGATTGCAAAAAAAAAGCCAACACAAAGAGGAAAGATGGGACAGCTGGAGCATCAGCTGTTCTGGGGCAGCCCTGAGCCATTAATGCTCCCCAGGGAGCCTGGTCAGGGTGGAGAGTGGCCAGAGCAGCAGATCCCACTGCCAGCCCCACCCATTCCCCAGGCAGCCTTCGCCCCCAGCTCCACCGAGGTGGGCACTCACACCCAAATTCTGTGCAGTATTTTTGCATTAAATTAAGACAAAAAAAAAAAACCACCCTAACCCTTTACTTAGTTGCCATAATGAGGGGAGTGTGCAGTATTTTTGCATTAAATTAAGACAAAAAAAAAAAAAACACCCTAACCCTTTACTTAGTTGCCATAATGGGGGGGGAAGACAAAAAAAAAAAAGGAAGTGAGGCAGCAGAATTTACAATTTCCACAGCAACTGGGAGAAGTGGGAAGCACCGTGCAGCCCTAAGCCCTGCCCTGGCGAGGCAGAGGAGGGGGCTGAGGGCCAGGATGGCCTCGCACGGCCCCGGAGGCTTTGCTGTTTACAGAGGCACTGGAAGCTGCCGTGAGCCAGGCCCAGCTCTGCTCACAGGCCAAGCAGCGAGCGTCAACTTTCTTTGGATCCCTCTGAGATGACACCGGGGGGAGGCAGGAGGGAGTCGGAGGCAGCTGCAAGGAGGAGTTTTGGTCGTGGGTTTTTCCCCGTGCTGGGATACAGGTGGTGGTGCCAGCCTGGAGGTGAAGGTGGTCGGAGATGAGGGCGCTCAGGAATGCAGGTAGAGTCCAGGATGGGAGGGGAAGCGGGGCTCAGGCCAACTTCAGGAACTCCTGCAGGGTGTTTTGCTCCACAGCTTCCACGAAGAGCTCGTAATCCTGCAGGGAAACGCCACACTGCTCACGAGGCAGTCTGGTTCACAGCCCTGGCACCAGCTGGGTGACAGGACAGAGCGGGCACAGCCCCGCTGCCACCCAAAGCCCCCCGCCCGGGTCCCCTTTTTCTGTGAATCCTGGCAGCACCCGGTCCCTGCACCTCACAAGAAACAACTTAAAAGGCATCCTGAAGATGTGCAGCAAAGCCAAGGGCAGGACACCCCCCAGCACCCGCCCCCGGCGTGCAGCAGGGGCCTCACCCCGCAGTACTGGTCCCCGTTGACGATCTGGGGTGGGATGGCTTTGGGGTTGCCCGCCTTGGCCCTCATCTCCTCCCGCAGAGCGTTGTCCTGGGAGATGTCCACCAGCTCGTACTTGATGTTCTTCCCGTCGAGGATTCGGGTTACCTCGCTCTGCTGGGATTTGATCTGGAAGCCGGGTGGGAAAGGCGGGTTACGGGGAGATGGAGAGGAGCCCCAGGGGCGGGCACAGCGCCGGGTGCCAGCCGGGCTCGGCGGTGACACAGAACAGCGGCGTGGGGACAGATAGGGACGAGCAGGGGAGAGGGGACACCGAGGATGGGGCGGGGGGGCTCGGCTGCCGCACGGACCAGAGGCGCCCACCCCCGGGGAGAGCGGCCCGGAGCCGGCGGCCCTGCCCGGTGCTGCCGGTGCTCACCTCCCGGGAGCCGGTCACCGAGGTGCTGTAGACCTTGAGGGTGCTCATGGTGCGATCGCGGCCGCTCCCAGCGCTGGCCCGGCCGAGGCAGGCAGGCGGGGATGGAGGCGGGGAGGAGCGGCAGCCCCGCCGCCGCCCGGCATGTGACTGCGGCGGCCAATGGCGCCCGCGGCACCGGGCATGCGGCCTCGGCGGGGCCGGCCCCGGGACGCCGCCCCGGCGGCACCGGGAGCACCGGGGAGACACCGGCACCGCCCCGGCGGCACCGGCAGTACCGACACGGGGGAGCACCGGCACCGGGGAACCACTGACACCGCCCCGGCAGCACCGGGGAGCCACCGGCACCGGCCCGGCGGCACCGGGAGCGCCGGTACTGTCTGCCACCGGGGAGCCACCGACACCGCCCCGGTGGAACCGGGAGCGCCGGTACTGCTGCCACCGGGCACCGGGGAGCACCGGCACGGCCCCGGCGGCACCGGGAGCACCGGGGAAGCCATCGAAACTGCCCCGGGAGCACCGGCACCGGGGAACCACTGACACCGCCCCGGCGGCACCGCGGAGACACCGGCACCGGGCCGGCGGCACCGGGAGCGCCGGTACTGCTGCCACCGGGCACCGGGGAAGCCACCGACACCGCCCCGACGGCACCGGGAGCACCGGGGAGCCACTGACACCGCCCCGGGGAGCACCAGCACCAGCACCGGCGGCACCGGGAGCACCGGGCAGCCACTGACAGTGGCCCGGCGGCACCGGGAGCACCGGGGAAGCCACCGACACCGCCCCGGGAGCACCGGCACCGGGGAGCCACTGACACCGTCCCGGGGAGCACCAGCACCGGCCCGGTGGCACCGGGAGCACCGGTACTGCTGCCACCGGGCACTGGGGAGCCACTGACACTGCCCCAGTGGCACCGGGAGCACCGCCACCGGGGAGCCACTAGCCCCGCTCAGCAGCGGCCCGGGGGCACCGGGCAGTCACCGAGTACTGCTGCCACCGGGCACTGGGGAGCCACTGACACTGCCCCAGTGGCACCGGGAGCACCGCCACCGGGGAGCCACTAGCCCCGCTCGCACCGGGCAGCCAGCAGCAGCGGCCCGGGGGCACCGGGGAGCACCGGCACCGGGCAGTCACCGACACCGCTCCCAGCGGGCACCGGCACCGCTGGCACCGGGCACGGCAGCAGGAGGGGCTGGCACGAGTGGGTCAGAGCAGCTTTATTGGACATTCCAAACACCCGATACAAAGAAGCACTGAGACAGAGGCTGGTACAGAGACACCGAGCCCGGCGGGACCGGGCAGCACACGGGGGAAAGAACGGGGGACAGGGAGCAAACAGCAGCCTGGGGCCCTGGCCGGGGGGTGGCCGGGGTCTCTGGAGCCCAGCATTGCCCCTGCAGCCCAGGACTGCTCCTGCAGCAGCAGCACACGGATCAGCCTCTGGGCCAGCGGGGCTGAGCTGGGCAGGAGGATGAGGAGGGGACACAGGACGGGGCAGCCCAGCTGCTGGGCCAGAGCTGTCAGCCACAATAATCTCATCTCAGACTCGCCTCTGCAGGGGCAGAGGGCAAGCCTGTCCCCTCACAGCACCTGTGAACAGGATCTTGCACCCCCAAAGCAAAGGGGAGAAGGAGATGGTGCCCAAAGGCCCCGAGAAGCTGCAGGAGCCAGCAGAGCTCCCAGCAGTCAGGACAAACGGCTTCAAAAACAGCCCTGGAAATGTGTTCTGCTCAGCAGACAGCACCAGGGGACAGACACAGCCTGGAACAGAACAGCCAGGGAGAGCAGGACAGACAGACAGACACCGCTGCATGCTCCCTGTGTGGGACAAACCAACCAGTTCCTGGCCACCGTCCCCCAGGGTGGCCAAACACCGAGAACAAAACAGATTTGGTCTTAAAATTTTAACTCAAAGGAATAACAAAAGCATTTCTGCCAAACCCAGGGCTCACAGCCCCAAGGTGAACCAAGAGCAGCCAAACAACACAAGTGTCAGCAGGACTTTTCCCTGTCACAACTTGGTGTCTTGCTCTTAAATCACGGTGAAAAGCCAAGTTCCACCCTCAGACTCAGTAAAGCTGTCACTGGGGATAGGGAGGGTGGTGGTACAGTGACACTGATCCCTCAGGGATTCATTTAGAATCCCATTACTTGCAGAGGAGAAGAAAGGAGGGACAGGGCTGTGACAAGGCCCAAGTGGGCACTGCTGGCAGGCAGAGCTCCCTGTGCCACCCCCTGCACAGCAGGAGCAGTATGGCTTTCTCCCAGTGAAGCAGAGGTGTGTCCCCAGGGCCTCAGACACCTGGGGCTCCCCAGGACTGTTTGTGATGGCTCTAAAAGGCTGTGAGAGGGAAGAGCAGCCCCTCACCTGCCAGTGGATACATTAGGCATGGAGCAGAGTGGGGGCAGAGGGTTCTTCCAGCTCATTAAGGCACTTCAGCATCAATCCACTTCTCTGCAGTCTAAATCACTTCCCAGTGCTGTTTCAGGGGGACAAAAGGCTTTTAAGGCTTCTGGGGTAACAGTGCCCATGGGCAGCATTTCCAGTCTTTTAGTGTTCTTTATTCCTCAGCTCATGCTGGCTGCTGAAAGACACTGGTTGCATCACCTGAGGAGAGCAGGTCCTGCTCCATCAATCCAAGGCAGCAGCACCTCGATGGAAATGCCAGGAGTGGAGCTGGCACACCTGCCTGCCTGTGGAATCCAGACATCCCACAAACACTCTGCCAACCCTCTGGTCCCACAGGAGGGAGGGTTATCAGGAAGACCAGGGCATACATTTCCTTTTAGCCATCATTTTAACTGTCACACTTGCATGTTCAGCATTTGACAGGCCTGCAAGGCAAGGCAGAATTCATCTCCCAGCATCAGAGACCACAGCAGCTCCAGCAAACACAGCAGAAAACACATTCCACAAGATCAAAGCCACTGCAAAGCCTGACACTGAAGCCCTGAATATCCCAGTCAGCAGCTGAACACTCCTGGCAACAAACCCCCTGATTCCTCACAGATCAGATAAGTCACACATCCTGTACCCGAGCAGAGGGATGGTAAAGTGCTGAATAGGTTTAGGGTTGTAGGAGCACAAGACTCCTGAGTTTCAAGTCTTCATTCCCTGTCTTACTTTGGGAGTGCTCTTTACTGGGTGATGCAGTTGTCTCCCATGTCCTGAGCGTATCTGTCAGATATTGCAGTCCTCAAGTCCTCCACCTCTTTGTGAAGCTGTTTTACCTCCACCAGTTTCTTGGCCAGTCCATCAGGGCTCAGCAGGTCATCCTTCTCCTTCACAGGGTATTGCACAGCTGTGGGGGCAGAGAAGGGAGTCTCCTCACATGCAGTTCTCAGCAAGGATCACACACATTTGCAAATCAGCCAGAAAAACCAACTCACATTTGCAAAAGAGGTTCTACTTAACATTCAGTTATTACAACATGCACCTTTGAAGCAAGCCAAGCACAGAAAGAGTACCCAGAAGCCCAGAAAGAGCACTTTCCATGCTCTGTGTGAGTTATTTAACTCTGCCACAGCACAGCACAGAAGGGTTTGCTCTGCCATCGCTTGAAGGGAAATGTACTCACAGTGGATGCCCAGGAGCAGAGAGAGGTTGGGGTCCTTGCCCTGAGCCCTCTGGGTGACAATGCTGTAGACAGACTGCAGATCCTGCAGGCAGCTGGCCAGCTCCCCGTGCAGCTGCTGGGCCAGGCAGGCAGTGTCAGCAGGCAGGGGCTGGGCTGTCAGCTGCGCCTGCCGCAGCTGCTCCTGCAGCGTCAGGTTCTTCTCAATCAGCTCCTGGTTCTGCACGGACAGCTGGACACACGGACAGGGCACGTCAGTGGGCACCTGGGGCAGCGCTGCCACGCTGGATGCAGCTGCTCTGTGAGGGCAGAGCTGGTTTGTACCCAGCCCTCCAGGCCGTGGCCAGAGCAGCCAATGTCACTGCCACCCGTGAGCTGCACTGTCCTGCCGAGGCCAGAGCACTAGAAGCTTCCATGGGGTTGTGCACCCCAGCAGGGGCTGTCCTTGCCTGGAGGCTGCTGCTGGGAGGGAGCTCTGCCCAGCCCTTCAGCCGGGGCTGTGCTTGGCCTCCCATTCTGCTGCCCCCAGCTGGCAAGCTCGGCCTCCTCCATCCCATCCCCATGGAGCTCCCGAGGCACAGCCTGCTTCTCCTGCCTCCCAGCAGGGCACAGCTCCTTCCACAGCCCTGACAGGACAACTGACTGGCAGGAAAGACTGAGCTGCTGACTAAATTCAGGGCCTTGCTCAGAGACAATCCATTGTTTCATTCAGTCACACCCGGGCACTCCAAACACCCCCTGACCTCTTTCACAGCAGCCCGGAGCTGCTGCAGAGCATTTTCTCTTCTCATTGCCTCCTCTTTCAGAGCTTGGCTTGTCCCCTCTTCCTGGGCCACCTGTTCTTCCAAGTTCTGGAACAGACCACGGGAACACAGTAAGGGACTCATTTCACAGCATATTCTCAAGTTCAGGGTCCCTCCCCATCACCTCTCACCTTGACTTGCAAGGATAACTGCTCCATCTTCTTCTGCTTTTTGTCCACAATCTGGAATTAAAAGCAGAGGCATCAGAAGTGGCCACACAGATCCAGCAAAACCACCAGGAATTCTCCTTCAGTAGGACAGCATCTCCTCTCCTTCTCTTTCCTGTCCATTTACTGCTCTAATCACAAATGCTCTCAGGAGTGGACTTGGATAAAAGGCACCATTAGATTTACCAGCTAAAACCAGACATTGTATTCTTGTGGTTTTTCTCTCCCCTCTTCTGCATTCTGCAGCTTCTCCCCAGCATTACTGGAGAAGTGTGTGGTTATCCCATCAAGAACAGCCTTTGGAGCCCTGCAGTCTGGAATTCCAGGAACTGCTGCTTCAGTGCAATTGTCTTTGGAAGTCCCTGATTTCCTCTGAGTGCCTGGTGTGACTCAGTGGATCCCTGACTGGGACAGTCACACTTCCCTTACCTTCCTGAGGCAGTCACACTCCTTCTTCAGAGAGTCCTGTTCCATTTTCTGCCTCTCCCCATCCTGGGCAGGGGGTCCTCTCTCTGCATTCTTTGCATACTGCTGCAACTTGTCCTGCAAGCTGCAATTAGCAGAACCACGGGGAAAAAAAACAGTTTTAGTTACAATCTCTCCCTTATTTAAGGAGGGAAGCAATATGAGGAGTGAAACTAATTTAATATCAAATATCAGCATTGCCCTGTTTGCACCCCAGCCCACCACCTGCCAGGGCTGGGCATCACCCTCCTCGTGCAGCAACTCCTGCAGTGCCAAGATGAAGCTGATTCCTCATTCCTACCTGTGCACACTGGACAGAAGCTCCATCTCCTTGTGCTTTTGGGTTTCCAGCTGCAGCTCTTGCTCCCTGAAAGCAGCCTGGACATCTCCAAGCTCTGTTTCCAGTGCCAGCACTGTTTCCTGCAGGGCAGTAGTCTTCAATTCAGATTCCTTCAGCTGCAGCAAAAGGGGAGTAGATGTAACAATAGAAAAGTCACCTGAGCAAGTATGTGAAGAGCCAGCACTGCAGCTCAGAGGAGGTTTTACCTTCTGACTCTGTTTCTGGTGGTCCTCAAGGGTTGGCAGATCAGCCAGGTATCGTTCCAGGGTCTCAATTCTCTGCTGTCTCTCTCTGTTTTGTTCAGTTTCCTTCTGGCATTTCTTTTTAAGGTTATTAATGTGTTTGTCTCTTCCCTTTACCTGCAGGGACAGTTACAGACAAGTTTAGTTTATTTAATTTCTTACTTATTCTTCAGTCTTCTGTAAGCCCATTCCTTTAGCTTTTTGCACACCACACAATGCCAAAATACAAGATCCCCTTAACTCATTTCTGCTCTTTTAGCTAAAGACAGGCATTTTTTTGGTGAAAAGAGGAGGCACTGAAATGCTTCTAACTGCAGGAGGAAAGGCTTTTGCTTGTAAACCAGTCTACAAGAAGATGAGAAAACACCTGCACACCACAGAAAAGTTTCACCTCAGCATTACATTGACAAGAAAGCACGCCTTCCCATCTCTAGAGCAACAGGACCATACCCTTTCTTCCTGTTTCTTTAACTCCTCTGCATGTTTCTGCACTGTTTCCTTCAGGGACTCCCGGAGCAGCTTCACATCCACCTCTGCAGCAGCCAGCTTCCTCTGCAGCTCAATGTTCTCCTTGCTGAGGGACTCAGTCTTCTCTGTGAACTGTGCTCGCAGGAAGGTGTTCTCCCGCTGCAGCTCCTGCAGGCACACCCAGCCCCTCAGCCTGGGGGGTACAAACTGCCCCTCAATGTCCCAGGGCTGTGTCCTCATCCTCCCCAATCCCCAAACATCCCTCAGCCCACCTGGCAGTGCTGCATCACCAGCCCAGCTTCAACCCAGCCAAAGGAAAGCTCAGGGGGGACAGAGGTGATGCTAACTCCACACAAGGGATCATTTATGATTTGTCTCTGCACAGTCCTGCTCAGCAAACAGCTCAGCAGCATTGCATTCAGCACCTGGCTCTCCCTGGCACGTGCTGTACCTGCATCCTCAGCATGTAGACATCTCCATAGGAGGCTGGGCAGCCCAGCAGGGCACTGTGCACCTGCAGCTCGCTCTCCCGGACCTTCTGCTCCAGCTGGGAAATGTGCTGCCTCTGTCTGCAACAAAACAGGCAATCCACTGTTCTCAAACACAGAGAGCAGCAGCACAGCACAGACAGGGCCAGCAGGGCATGCTGCTGCACACAGTGACAAACAGAACTCTGCCACTCAGAGCTCACCTGCACAGAAATAAAGGTAAACACTTTGACCCTTTCTACAGTTCTTATTAACTTTTCTTCCCTTCCCTCCCTTCAAAAGTCTTCCCCCAGCCATGATTACAGATAAAACACACAAGCCTTGCATGTTTTGGAGGATCCAGCTAGACTCTGGAGCTTAGCAGTGAAATGAACAGACAACAGATGACTCAAAATAAGGAAGGAAAAGTGGTTACAGTCCAGATGTTGAAGGTACTTTTCATTAGGACTTACTTTTTCAAAAAGCTTGTGTACCACTAGCCTTAGAGAAATGTTGTTTGCCAGCCCAAAGTCACAAAACCCAAATTTAAAATAAAGGTCTCAAAGCGCTCCCAAAAAGTCTTTAAGCAAAAGAGGCAGTTATTTTGACATTCCAGACAATCATGACATGAACAGAAATCTTTATACCTTATAAAACACAGAAAACCATAACTAAAATTAATTTATTTGAGCTCTTCAGGATCATTGTCCTAATTCCATGAAGAAGAGAAGAGCTCAGGTTGTTCTCTAAGGTTCTTATATTGTTCTTTGCAACAAAACAAGATCAGCTGGGCAAAAGGGACTCTGAGAAACGAGCCCTCCTTTCAAAATTTTCCTTTCCAAATGGAAATGGACTGGAGTCTTTAAACCACATGGCAGTACCAAAGCCTCACCTGTCAATGAGGAGCTCTTTCTCCTTGAGCAGGTTTTCATTGGAGTTCAGGATATTGATCCACTGAGCTGGGTCAGGTGCAGGCAGGGATGGGGAATACAGTGAGGAATGGGGGCAGGTGCCTCCATTTTGTAACTGCAAGAGGAGACAAAACAAGGAGGGAGTGCTCTGTGCCCCACAGGGGTAATTGCAACACTGCTGCAGCTATTTTGCACGCTGTGTGCTCATCTGCATGCCAGGGCAGGGCTATTTCAGTCTCTGTTGATGTCCAAGAACAAGAAAGTTTGCCCAAGCACAACTGGAGATTAACAAATAATTTTAGATCACTGTGCTAGCTCGCTGGAAACAATTTGTCTCCATCAGGGTACAGCTGGTGGGAGGTAGTAAACAAACTCTTTCCACCTAACAAACTGCAGTTAGCTTCATGCATTTTTTCCAAAAAGTCTTTCTTGACCCTAGATACAGAACAAAGCCATTCTAGACACTGCTAAAACCTCTTGGCATGCTTTTTCTTCCCCGTTTCTATCAGACAGGGTATTCCAGCTCCTGAGCTGGCAGGTGGTGCAGCCCTGTAACACAATCCAGGGCTGCTCTGCACCCGCAGCGTGTCAAACGATACCTGTGACACCACAAGCTGGAAAAACAGACCATTAGGAGACTTCTGGTGCCACTCAGGGAGAAGCAGCAGACATTTTCCCCCTGGCTCCTCAGTCAGGGACAACAATTCCTGACTGCTCCAGAGACAGGCAAGGTTTCAAGCTCACACAGCCACAGCTGCCTACCTGCATCTGCTCCACCTGCAGCCGCACCTTGTCCAGCTGCTGCTTCCAGGCACTGAGCTCGCAGACTCCCTGGTGGGGGTGCAGGGTGCAGCCTTCCTGCACCCACGCTCGGCCTGGGGGAGCTGCCACAGGTTTGGAATAGAAGCTGCTGGCCTGGAGCCCCCCTGGCATCAGCCTGCTCCCACCAGGCCACGGCCCATCGGCTCCGTTGGTGCCCGGCGCCTGTTTGCTCTCTGGCAGCACCTTGAAATGGTCCTTGCTTGCCTCAGAGCTGAACTTCTGGCACCTGTGCAGAGGGTCAGCACACACGCTGTCCAGGAAGAGAGACTGGTTAAGGGTCTGCTCGATGGCAGGGGTGTCAAACTTCCAGGTGCCTTCTGTCCTGGTGGCAGGAGGCCAGGCGTGCTCGCAGCCGTTGTCCCTGTAGAGACGCAGGAGGTCCCTGGGGGGCACCTGAGAGGAGCTCCCGGCGTTCAGGTCCCCGTTCCTGGCCAGCCCCGGGCGGTCAGGGGCAGAGCCTGGCCCAGCAGGACGTGCAGAGCTCTGGGAACAGCCCTGGTCCCCTGCAGGGCACAGCTTGGAGGGCGAGGCACCCAGCGTGGAAGGCATGACGTGGGCTGTTGGAATGGTCACCTGGGTTTTGATGGGGTGGAATGAGGAACCGCTACTGGAGTTGCAAAAGTCTAGGGGAAGAAGAAGAGTAAGCATCCAATTACAGTGCTGAAAATACAATCCTCCACTGGGCTTTCCAAAATGAGCTTAAAACCAGTTCCTTTCCCACTGAACATGTCCTCCTAAGCAGCAGCAGCAGCATGACTCAGGCACACTTGTGTTCCCCCTCACTACAAGTTTCAGGAACCTGCTGACCTTTTCCTACCACTACAGGAATAGTCCAAGTTTAATCCCTATTTTTAATCCTTGTTTTTAAGCTACTCTAGTATAACCTTGAATCAATAATGTTACCTTTCTCTAGGTTTAGCAATCAAGTCCTTGATACTGAATAGAAAGGCTGAAACTTACTGATCTGAGCACTGAGCCTGCGATCCTGCTCTGCCCGTCCTGCAGTTCCAAAGCATGAGCAGAGCTACCAGGAGCCTGCCCTGAGCCCATGGTGAGCCTCCAGCATCGCTGACCCCAAGGATCTGACCTTCCAGCTCCTGCAGGACACCACGGCAAGAGCCTGTCCCAGAGCTGGAGCAATGGCTCTCACCTAGGGCCACAGGAAGTGAGACAGAGCTGCTGTCCTGCCAAACCTGGCTGCAGGGAACTCGGGGTTATTCTTAGCAGCTCTCAGATTTCAATACAGCAACAGCAAGAAAGGCAAACAGCAAAGTGCCTGTTCTCACTCCTTGTCCTGAGACGTTCTGTGTCGCAGGAATTCCAGGTTTCTCCCAGGAACACACGCTTGATTTCCTCGTGGCTTTGGCCAAAGGCCCATCCCCACGTGATGCTCCAACAAGTCACCCTCCCACCTGTTTGTACCCTCCAAGCACTGCTGCAACAATGAGTAAACACTGCAATTTGAACACAGCCCAAATCAGACTCTGCAAAGACCAAAACCACGCCACAGGAGAACTGTCACAATAAAAGCACTCGATTCTTTCACCACACATGAGCAGTGAGGGCAGAAAATCTCCCAGCCACTGCCTGGCTGTGCCTGGGCACTCCAGAGAACACCATGCTACTGGGCAGCTGCAAGCACATTCACCTTGGCAGAGGGAGGAGACAGCACCTTTCACAGCCCCTAAATTTATCCCCTGGTGTCACTGCCAGGAACCTGAGTTCCCTGAGCAGCACATCACGTGGGGGTGCTGCAATCAGCTCCTGGAGTGTGCTCGGGGTCCTCACAACAACATTTCTGGCTAATGTACTGAGCTCAGCGTGCCCCAGCAGCAGCCAGGGCCGCGGGTCACCCTCGGCTCTTACAGCACGGCTCGGACATCACCAGGGCCCAGAAGGGGCATTTCCCACAGGAAATCATCTCCAGCTGCCAAATGGTGTTTTATCATCCCGAGAGAGGCCTGGTGGAACACTTACACATGTGCTCGGGTAGTATTTCTAGCAGTACTTCCAACAGCCAGGCCTGCTAAAGCCTCCATTTCATTGGCACATTATTGAGATCTACAATCTTAGTAATCATTCCAAATCCCAATCTCATTGCAAAGGCTCCCTGGAACACAGGGCTGTGTGACGTGTTTTAAGGAACACCACAAAGTCCCTCATTACTGAAAAGACAATCAATAAAGATGAAAAAAAAAAAACCAAACAAACAGGTGGAAAGGATTGCTGAGACCAGAAATTTCAGAGTGTGCCTCAGCTGAAGGCCAGGCTGCAGAGTTCTCAGCTCTAACACTGCCAAACACAAAGGCACCTACAAATTATTTCCTTTAAAAAAAGATAAAATCACCCAACAGACTCGCTGATAAATCTCTCATTGATTTGATAAGAACCATTGATAAGAACCAGCAAGTCACCAAGGTGGCTTTCAGTCAGTTCAAAGCCCTGCAGCGAGACAATAACCAAGCTCAGAGGCACAGCCAGTGCCCTGGTCACTTGGTGACACTGCAGACAGCTGGGTTTGAGCCAGCTGTGCCAGGCTGTGCCGTGCCAGGCTGTGCTGTGCCAGGTTTCAGCAGCCCGTGGTGCCTCACCCTCAGTGCTGTCAGAGCAGGAGGTGCCGATGCCGCCGTCCCCGCTCTCGGCCACGCTGGGACAGCGGCTCAGGGACACCGTGGCTGCCTGCCACTCACTCTCCAGAAACCTGCTCTTCTGACACGTGCTGGGGCCTGCAGTGCAAAAACAGCGGTGTTTATGCTTTAATTAAGCCATATGTAACTACCCGTGGTTCCAAACCCCACCTGGCCCTTGCTTCGCTCCCTGTGCCCCTGTTAAAAAATGGCTTTGGCCAAAGGAAATGGCAGGAAGCACAGGGAAGTGAAATAACACCAACAGGAGACTGAAAAACAACCTTGGTAAGGAAGTCAGAGTGCAGAAGCTGTAAATTATATTCCCATTGATTAGCTTGGTCGTGTTACACACAGCTGGTGCTCTGACCCAAAAGAGCAGCAGCACAGCAAAGCTGGGCAAGTCAAAGAGGTATTTTTGCATTAACTCTAAAGAACTCCCCCAGATCCATCAGCTAGCAGCTTAAGGGAGAAATTCCTTACCAAATGACTGCTGAAAAAGCAGGCTAGGGTAGAAAATAAGACTTTTTTGAACAAAAAGCTTCTGGTAGAGAATCTTCTGAGGGCCACATGTCTCCTCAGAGAACGTGAAACAGGATCTGACAGGAGCAGGGCTTTGGAGAAAGGACTGTCCTTACCCAGTGGATTCCTCTGCAGGAGCCTCAGGTCTGGGTCTTTCTCATGAGCAGCCATCTCATCTATCTAGAAAACTGGATAAATGAATAAAAATCTTATTTTAAGTGAGTATAATCCATGCCCTGCTCCCACTAACCAAGCAAAGGGGGCACACACAGCACCTACTCATCAGAGTAACACAGCACTTAATATTTAATTAGCTTTTCCCTGCAGCAACACTTAAAAAAAATTTAAAAACCAAAAAACTTTAGTCTCTACAGAGACTAAACATTTCTCTTTAAAAGTCTTAACTCTCAACCAGATCATTTCTGCCCTCTGTAGAGGTCACTGAGCAACTACATGAGGAAAAAAGTCCTTCAAAAATCAGCCTTTCTGTGCCACGAATAGCAAATCTTTATCTGCCCAGAGTTTTGGGTTAATTTCTCTATTTCTATGAGTGCTTCAGACAGCGAATTTCCTGTCTCTGATAATGCAATTTACATCTACACACTGGAAATTCAAGGCCTCTACAAACCCACACTCAACCCTCACCCAGCAGCTGGTACAGATTTTTGCTAAACCGATTCAGAGAGAACATTAATTCCTCAAAAACATTCATACACACAGATGCCACAACGGAGCAGAAACACTTGGAACACAACACGACCACGAACCCGAAACAGCATTTCACTCAGCAAAGAAATGAGACACCTCTACATAAATGCAGTGCTTGTTATGGTTAATTTAGATGGGATTAATTTAGGCAGATACAATTTTAGGTGAATTTCTGATGCGATTAATTTAGGCAGATACAATTTTAGGTGAATTTCTGACGGGATGGAGGTCCCGGTCATTGAGGGTGGGGTGGGGCAGATCCTGAGGGTCTGAGGGCTCAGCCCCTGATCCGGAGCCGGCGGGGAGGGGGCGCCGGTCCGTGAGGGGGAGCGGGGCCCGGTCTCTGAGGGGGAGGCCACGAGGAGCGGAGAGACCGGTCCCTGACGGGCGGGAGGGTCCGGGCTGCGGCGCCGGCGGGGCTGCCGGTGCCCGGTGGCGGGGCCGGTGCCGTGTGGGTGCGGGTCGGGGCCGGTACCGGTGTCGGTGCCGGTTTCGGGCTCGGTCCCTCACCTGCCGCCGCCGCCGCGCCTCTCCCGCCACCCCCGCGCGCCGCGACCGTTACCTCCGCCGGCGGGGGCGTGGCAGCGCGCAGAGGGCGTGGCTTCATTGCATAGTAACCAATCAAACGCTCCGGCCACGCCCCTATAGTACCTCATTGGCTCGCCTGAGCGGTGTCCCCGCCCCCGCCACAGTTACCTCCGCCGGCGGGGGGCGTGGCAGCGCGCAGAGGGCGTGGCTTCATTGCATATTAACCAATCAAATAATCCGGTTATGCCCCTCGTAGTGTCTGATTGGCTCGCCTGAGCGGTGTCCCCGCCCCCGCCGCGGCGGGCTCTGGCGGGGGGAAGAGTGGCCGCGGGCGGCATCCGTAGGGCGGGCGCTGAGGGGGCTCTGCCTGGGGAAATGGGGGAGCGGGGGGCGACTCTTGATCGCCTCAGCCCCTGCCCGGGGAGCGGCAGGACAGGGGGAAACCGCCTCAGGCTGCAGCTGGGGAGCCCCCAGAGCCCCTGCCAGGAGAGGGGCAGGGCAAGAAACCGCCTCAGGCTGCACCTGGGGAGTTCCCCTCAGAACAAGAGGAGCCCCCCTCAGGCTGCACCTGGAGAGTTCCCCTCAGAACAGAGGAGCCCCCCTCAGGCTGCACCAGGGGAAGGCGAGGTTGGAATCCAGGAGGGATTTCCCCCTGGAAAAGGTGCTCAAGCACCGGGCACACGCACTGCTTGAGTCACCACCCCTGGGAGCGTTTAAAAAACGCGGATGTGGCGCTTGGGGATGTGGTTTAGCGGCGAAAGCGGCAATCAACGCCAGGTTTCGATCCTGGAGGTCTCTGCCAACCAAACAGTCCCACGATTTGATGATTTCAACGCAAAAAAAAAAAAAAAAAATCAGGAGCAGGCCCTGTCAACACGTTTATTTACAGCAGAAGAGCCTATTGCTGGGGCGCTGAAAACCCCCTCCTCGCCGAGGCAAGGAAAAATTAAGACTCGCGCGGCCCCTGAGGGGGCTGAGCCCGACCGAGCGCGGAGCAGCCCCCGAGCCCGGCGGGGCCTCAGGGCTCGGCCGCCCCTCCGTGCGGGCTGTGCCGCTCTCCAGCGCCCCGCTGCCCTGCCCAGCCCTCCCGCAGCTCCCGGTACAGCTCCTGGTGCTCCTCCTTCCAGCGCCTGAAGGCGGCCGAGGTGAGCTCGGCCTCTCCCAGCAGCTGCTCCAGCGCCTGCAGCTCCGCCAGCTTCGCCTGCCCGCATGGAACACAGGTTTGCGGGGAGAACCGCGGGCAGCGAGCGGGGGGCGCGGGGCGGGGGTCTCACCTTGAGCGTGCTCTGCAGCGCCCGCACGGCGTGCACCCGCTCGTTGATGTGCGGGTTCCTGGTGCGCCGCAGGAAGGATTTGCGGCACTGCTCCCGCGTCAGCGGCCGCCGCTGCTGGCCCGTCGGGGACACGCCGCCCTGCCGCAGGCTCCGCAGCAGCCGCTCCAGGTGCCGGTCCGGATCCTCCGCGCCGGGCTCTGCGGGAGCACAGCGGGGAGCTGCAGCAGCAGGGCGGCACGACTGTAGTTGTGATTTTTATTGGTGTTTTTTCCTTTTTTTTTTGGTTTTTTTTGGGTTTTTTTGTTTTTTTTTTTTTTTTTTTGTTTTGGTGGGGTTTTTTTGTTTTTTTGGGTTTTTTTTGGTTGGTTGGGGTTTTTTGGTTTTTTGGGTTGTTTTTTGGGTTTTTTTAGGTTTTTTTTGTTTGGTTTTTTTTTGTTTGTTTTGTTTCGGATTTCTTCAGCAGCCGCTCCAGGTGCCGGTCCGGATCCTCCGCGCCGGGCTCTGCGGGAGCACAGCGGGGAGCTGCAGCAGCAGGGCGGCTCCCGTGTAGTTGTGATTTTTATTGGTGTTTTTTCCTTTTTTTTTTGGTTTTTTTTGGGTTTTTTTTGGTTGGTTGGGGTTTTTTGGTTTTTTGGGTTGTTTTTTGGGTTTTTTTAGGTTTTTTTTGTTTGTTTTTTTTTTTTTTGTTTTGTTGTGGGTGTTTTTTTTGGTTTTTTTTGGGTTTTTTTTGGTTGGTTGGGGTTTTTTGGTTTTTTGGGTTGTTTTTTGGATTTTTTTAGGTTTTTTTTGTTTGGTTTTTTTTTGTTTGTTTTGTTTTGGTTTTTTTTTTTATGGTTAGGACTTTCTTCTCCTGAGATTTACATTTCTTTCCCGAGGGTCTCAGGAAAGAAACGTGAACAATTAACTGCTGTGGAATGCGACGGGTGCGCCTGTGATCGGTGCATGTTGGTTGTTTTTAATTAAGAGCCAGTCACAGACTCTGAGAGTCATGAAATTTTGTTATGCGTTCTATTCTTGTTCTTTCAAGCCTTCTAATGATCTTTTCTCTCTGTTCTTTTAGTATAGTTTTTATGTAGTATTTTAATATAATATATACCATAATATAATAAACCAACCTTCTTTACATTTCTTTCCCGAGGGTCTCAGGAAAGAAACGTGAACAATTAACTGCTGTGGAATGCGACGGGTGCGCCTGTGATTGGTGCATGTTGGTTGTTTTTAATTAAGAGCCA